AAGAACACGATAGAACCCAGAAAAGTCTCGATCTTTACTAGTTTCTACCGATGCAAAAGCTAAGGCGATATCTATAAACGAAAAGTAAACTCGAAAAGGATAGATACAACCTGTTGTTAGGACCTTCAGCTCTGATACCACTGATGAACTTTCGGATACGCTCGAACGATCGAGGTTTGGTTCGGACACATCGAGCGACTCAGCGTACTATCGGGCAGAACGACAAGGAAGCATGTGGCGAGAAAACCCTCTTGCACAAATGAGAGAATCCTTCGATGGATGGTGAAATGGAACGAAGCAACAACACACGAGCGATGGAAGACTCGCGATACGGTTGACTCGCCGTCGAAGAGCCCGGCTTGTTCGGACGTCGAGGTTTTCCGATCCTTTACTTGGCGAGAGGCCTTTAAAGGAACGAAGAAATGACGCAAGAGAAGAAAACTCTAGGGTTTTTAGATTCAAGTAAGCGTAACTTTTACAAGGGTTGAGCAGCCTATAAATAGGTGCGACCGAGAGAAGGAACCTATTTGCCCTAGGCCACGTGTGTGGTCGAGCGGCTTACAACACTAGTAAATAAAGACAAATAACCAACGTTCGAAAATTCAAAGTTCAAAAGATAAGGATAGAAGGATAGGATCCACACGTCTTTGGTAAAACGCGTGGATGCGCTAGGATTAACTGCCTCGTTAAAACCTCCTCGGTAAAACCCAATGGGATAAAAACCGAGATAGGAAAAAGAGTACAGTTGCTCTCTAACGACTTAAACTTCTTCACCAATGGTGATGGTGAAGACCATCAACGATGGCCCTTCTTCTTGAATTGTTGGCTCGATGAAATCGTGGACGTACTCTTGAAGGAAAAGATTGAATTGGTCTCGGGCGTTCTTCTCCACCCGTCGGCTTCTCGTGGTCGCGCCTTGGGCAAGGATCGGGACTTTGGGTCGAGTCATCGATCGGGTTTGTCGAACTCCATCGGTCGTTCCGTCTGTTCCCTCGATCTGTCTGTGTCTCAAGCGGTCGTTACTTGTCCCGTCTAGATCACCGTTCGTCTGTCCGTCCGTCCGTTCCAAGCCATCGTTGCTCGATGTCGCATCAAAACTAAATTGTTTTTTTTCTTTATTTGGTTCATATCATTGTAAATACTAGGAAAAACTTAAGATTAATCATGAAATAATCTTACAAAACAAGCAAAGGAGAATAAGTTAAATACAAATTTAACATCACATATTTTAACTTTCCTTAGTTTTACTAGTTATATCAGTTATACCAGTATTACAAAAAATTTTGAAATTTTTAAGAAAATATTAAAATTTGTTTGGCAAAATTAATATATTTTTTTTTTTTAAAAAAGATTCTGACATGTATTGCCACGTGTGCAATATGTGTGTTCACTCTTAGTTATACCCAAGATTTTATTTGTACCAAAATTGCAAATAGCTGTACTTTTGAGGTTTTTTCAATTTAATTAGTTTTACACACTCTTAAACTTGTAATTTGTAGTTGTACAGTTAATTAAAGTCTATAAAGATATAATTATGAGTCTTCTATGCATATATATATATATATATATATATATATATATATATATATATATATTAAAATCTATAATTCCATAACTTTGTCATCCCAACTTGGTGATTATTAACAAAGTAAACTTAAAAGTATAAGGAAACACTTGGGAACGACGACCTATTTCCCCCTCGAAACTTTCGTATACGACCAGTTCCACCCACACTTTCAGCCTCCCTTTGCATCCCCCTAAAAATAAAGTTCCACAATTTTTTCCCCCTACATCGAAAATTCGAAGACTTTTTCCCCATAAAATTAAAGTTCGATACTTATTTACACATCGAACTGGGTTAGTGTCGGTTTATCATAGACCAATCTCATCTTAACCATCATAATCAATTTTAAACCAATAATAAATCAATTTTTCTTAAACCTAACCGATTAAAACAAAAAAAAAATCAAAAAATCCCCAAATCAAAAAATCCCTAAATCGATTTCATCTTCTTCTACGAACCCTAATCCCCAATATCCCCAAATCATCTTCCCAACTCTTGTTCTTCTCTGATTCAGTTTTGTTTTGCTTCTCTGATGTGACTTAAAGGAAAGTGAATGGAAAAATGTTGCAAAAACAACATTTGACAACGTGATGAAGCTCACATGTACACAATCTAGCCATAGTTCTTTTAGTTTAGGAGGGTTTAACGTATTTGGGGATTTTTTTGTTTTTTGGTTTTAATCGGGTTAGGTTTACGGAAAATTGGTTTATTATTGGTTTAAAATTGATTAGGATGGTTAAGATGAGATTAGTCTACGGTAAACCGACACTAACCCAGTTCGATGTGTAAATAAGTATCGAACTTTAATTTTATGGGGAAAAAATTTCGAACTTTCGATGTGGAGGAGAAAAATTGTAAAACATTATTTTGAGGGGGAACTTTAATTTTATGTGGATTCTTTTATACCAACCCAAAATTTATATCTTTTTAAAAAAATATAACTCTTTGTAAATATTTAAATATTACTTTTGACAATTACTAGTATACACATTCTTAGATTTTCTTTTAAAATCATTTTATGGATGTTTAACATTTTTAATAGTAGTTTTATGTTAGTTGTGCCAGTTTTACTCTGTTATGACAACATAAATATACACATCAACTGGAAGAGAAATCAATCATTACCACACTTTAAAATAAGTTTCACGATAATTGTGACATAACCAAGATAATAGTAGTACAAACCAAAATATCAAACATGAATCAAACAATTTTAGAATCTTTTGACTATTGCTTTTGACATCTTCTCTTCTCAAAATTAACGGACATTAGATAAGCATTCACATCCTCGTCATCAATAAGTTCACACTTTTCTACTACACCTACCACTAGCGGATAATAGCTCAAATCCAATTGAATGTGGTTCTCAACATATCCAAGCTTCTTGTTTATCCTTGCTTTTAACATCAACAATGTTATATCCCTCACTTGTGTCTTGAACATTATACTATAAATTTGACCTTCACACTTAAAATATATACTAACGTTTTCGCTCATCGTGTCCTGCCAAAACAATTCCAACAAACTCAATCAGTAATACTACCAGTTATACTACAGTAATCAGTATTACCAGTTTTACTAGTTATACTAATATAACCAGTATTACTAGTTTTACTAGTTATACTCAAAATCAAATCGAATGTCTCGTGTTCTAAACTCTGCAATTCACTACGATTCAAGCACTGAAATCCATTTTTTATCAACTAATTAGCTCAATCGACCCAGAACCCATAGTAAAACACCTAATGTGCTAAACTTTTCAAGCAAAATCCAATCTAGATTTCCAAAATCCAAAATCTAAAATATTCAATCAAGAACTTACTCCTATGTAGAAGAACACACCTGCAAATTGAAGGAGAGCTTGATACCGTTCGAAAGAGATGAAGAAACGTTGATATTGGAGAGCTCCAACGAAGAATCGCCGACGGCGAAATCGATGAGGATCGTTGTTCGTCGGGTTCTGATTTTTTTTTTGTTTTTTTTGTTGTTTTTTCTTAATTAAAGTAATTAATAGAAAAAGAAAATAAAGAGGGGTAGTTTGGGGATGACATATTTTCATTAATGAAGGAGGGCTATTGAGATTAATAAGGGAGATAATGAATGAAAAATGTGAAAAAGGGCACAGGAGATGATTTCTCGAGTTGAACGGCGGCGTGGGAGAGGATAGGGTTTGTTATTTTTCTTAATAGATCAATATATGGCCCATTAACTAATTTGCTGGCCTAATTATAATTATTTAAACCAATTTTTTATGTTACAGGCCCAAATTAAATTGTGGAAGTAATAAATTTATAATAGTTTTACAAAACAATAATTTTAATAATTGAAATTTTAATATAATTTTACTGTTTATGTGTGGGATTATGAATGAAAATTCAGATTATAATAGTTTTAGAAAACAATGTTTTTAAAAATTTAAAATTTAATAGAATTTTACTGTTAATGTGTGGGATTATGAATAAAAATCATGATTATAATAGTTTTAGATAACAATGTATTTTAAAATTGAAATTTTAATAAAATTTTACTGTCAATGTGTGAGATTATGAATGAAAAATAAGATTATAATAGTTTTAGATAACAATGTATTTTAAAATTGAAATTTTAATATAATTTTACTGTCAATGTGTGAGATTATGAATGAAAATTAAGATTATAATAGTTTTAGATAACAATGTATTTTTAAATTGAAAATTTAATATAATTTTACTGTCAATGTGTGAGATTATGAATGAAAATTAAGATTATAATAGTTTTAGAAAAAAATATTTTAAAATGGAAAATTTAATATAATATTACTGTTAATTTGTGGGATTATGAATGAAAACTAAGATTATCAATCAATACTATAAATTATGCATGAAGAAAATATTTTAAAAATTGGAAACGATTGAGAAATTGATTTTAGCAACAATATAGAATTAACCTTCTAATTTCTTACCAAAATCTTATAAACACTACAAGAAAAACAACGATTTCCTACAGCCATTTGCGTGAAAAAATGGTAGGAAACAGCCGTTTCTTACGATATTCCTACAAATAAAATGGTAGGAAATCGCCCGTAGGAAATCGTAGATGGTAAGATATTGGTAGGAAAATTTCCTACCAAAAACTCGCCGAAGGAACTTTTGTAGGTATTTTCGTAGGAAAGGCGAAGGGTATTTCTGACCGTTTTCCTTCAAATAAAGCGTAGGAAACGTTTTCCTTCTAATTTCCTACCAAAACTTTGCCTGCTATTTTCCTACGAAAACTCTATTCATTCCAATTTCCTACAAATTTATTCACTCCAGATTCCTACAAATTTTCCTTCAAAAAAATACCCTCCAACATTCCTTAGACCGGAAATGGTAGGAAATACTTAAAATTCATTAAACTACATAATTCATTTAAAAATCGATTATAAATTATTATTAAATTGTTTAAAAAAAATTGAAACTATGAAAAAAAAAACAGATAATTATAAATAGAAACATCAATGTAATACAAACAAAGTGTTGATACAACAAACAACCTAAAAATTATAAAAATGTTTAAGTTTGAAAAGAAACCGAAATGCATTACTCTTGTGTCTCGTCTTCATCTTCATCTTCGGGGATTGTCGCAATTCACGAAACCATGCTTGCCGTTGAACCCTCGTTAAGTCATCCAACGAGTAGCTAGGACTACTATAATCATAACCACGCTGCTGGTCAGCCTTGTGTTGTAGAAACTCTTGGCTAGCTGGTCAGCCTTGTGTTGTAGAAACTCTTGGCTAGCACGCAGCTGGAAATAAACAATACAAATCACTTTAAGCAAGGAGTGAAAGATAGTGTATTGGAAACTACTAAAGATAATACTTACTAAACGTATTGTGACAATGGTGATATTAAGAGTGAGTAGAGATTTCTGAAACAGTTCTAATCTAAGAAAACCTTTATAAATCCATATAAGAACATATCATAAATCTGAGGGCTGTTTCAAGTATAATAAACTTGGATATAAGGACAGAACAAATTGGGTTCATTACTAAATTGAAAATGACATAACTCATTGTGTTGATTAGTAAGTTAAAATCGTTTACACCTTCACATAAACAAATAAGATCATTAAATTAAAAAGAACAATAAAAGAGAGCAGGAAACTATAAAAGTTTTCAATATGTAAGCATATAACTTTCAATATGGCATTCCAAAGCCTGAAAGGATAGATTACAAAATCATATCCTTGTAACAGTTTCCAGCTATCTACATAAGCTACATCATGTATGTACCACTATAGTGTGATAAGGAGAATTTTATCTTCCCATATTAGCTCTACAACATCCCATGGTAACTAAAAATAACATGCAGCAATTGACTAGGGCGCTAGAAGTACCTCATAGCACAGGGGATCAGCCTTAGCAGCTTTGTACCTGCAAACGCAACCGAAATTAAAGAGTTAAATAGATATATGAAGTCCACGATTCCAACACGCCACTCAATCAAAATAGATGGATCAGCCAATTCCACACAAGATCACGTGACAAAACAAATGACTCTTGACAGATTTAATAAACGTCTCAGAGCAATAAGTAGCAAAGTGGATATAGTGTACCTTAATAGCAAAAGATACAGTAGGATAAAAAAAAATGTCTATCAATTACCTTACGCTCTGAAATAAAGTTGTACATCATTAGCGATATCTAAGAGTGTTATTGGCTGTGGCTTTCTCTGTAACCCAAACATCATCTTCCACCTAAGAACAATAGGACATGATCAGAAAATTACATTTTTCGAGATTGAAATCACAAAAAACAAAATAAAACATTATCTCAGTCTAGATAACATGAATTCTAATCTGTTCAAGATCAAAATAAAAACAAAAACTGTAGACACAAAACTAGTGAGGCTTGCTTCACGAATTGAAATCTAATCTATTCAAAATCAGAATAAAACACAAGCTATACACACAGAACTTGAAGGGCAAAGACAAATACGAAACTCGAGAATCACAAAGTCTTCGAATTTAAGAAAAAGCTGGGTTTTTTCGAGATTGAGACGCAAAATCAGGGTTTTAAATTACAGGGAATTGCTTGTGGAATTGAGAGCAGAGACGAGAAAACTAATGAGGAAGAGTTAATAACAATCTTCAACAGAGATTCATTATGTGGGTCTGAAATGTTTAGGTCTAATAAGTTTTTTTGAGAAGTCATAGTGAAAAGGAGAGATGAGTAGAGAAAAAGACTTACCCGGCAGATTCAATTCGACTGGACATGGGAGACGACGGTCGGAGGCTTGGGCGGTCATAGTCATCGCGATTAGAACAAGAGAAATGAGAGTGAGAGTTCCTCTGAACTATGTTCGGACGAAGTGTTAGGAGAGTGATGGTGCTTTTTTTTTAAGTGTTGTGCTAAGGAAAGGAGGGCACAGATCTAGGGTAAGGGTTTTTTTTGTTATTTTTCTTTCTTTTGTTGGCAATGAAAAGCCGAAGTGATACAAAACTTCTTAAGGCCTTAGACTAAATGAGCCCAATAGCATCAACTATACTATTTCTGGAAGTTCACTTTATTATTTAAAGAGTAAATTACTTGGATTACAACTTTATAATTTCAAATACTTTGCAATTTTCAGTTCATAATTCAGGAAATGAGATGTAAATTTTGTGATTTGATTTACATGTAAAAATGATTAGTTTTAGGTTTTAAAATGTTTATATTTTATAATTAAATATTTTTTTGGAAAGATTGAATTATATGTAAATACTAAATAGTTTTACATATTGGTTTTATACATATATAACGGTTATATTTTGGTTAAATAATTTATGATTTAATTTCTCTATATGCATTATATAGGTTTAAAAATTAAATTATAGGGTTTGATATATAGGATTTGGGGTATATATAGGTTTAAGATTTGGGGTTAAGTTTTGAGAAAAATATAAGATTTGAGAAACTATAATTTTTTTAAGTGTTAGATCTCAGTTTTTGGATATATTGTAGTAATTTGATTTTCTTACAAGATTTAAAGCTTGATTTTGCATATATATGATGGTTATGATTTGTTTTTTTTTTTTTTTAAACTTGTTTTTATACTTTATGAATTGTATTTTTAAAGATTAAGAATTGAAAGTTCAAGGTTTAGAGTCTATGATTTAGGTTTGAGGTTAAAATTTGAAAAATTTGATTTTCTTAAATAGCGACTAATATGAAAAGTTAACCTTCTAATTTCCTACCAATATCTTACAAACAAGTTTTCCTAATAATTTCTTACAAATCAACGATCCTTCTATTTTCCTACAAAAAGTTTTCCTTCCTTTTCTCTTCCGTTTTCCTACGCCGTTAACTTCAAACCTATACCCGAAGGTACTTAGTAGGAAAAATTCCTACCAAATTCCATCCGCACTTTTTCCTACACTATTCTTCTCCGTTTCCTTCCAGATTTCCTACGAAAATAATATTTATATGAATTTGGTAGGAAAATTTCCTTCCACTTTTTCACACGCTTTTCGTAGTAAAATTTCCTTCGTCTTTACTACATGTTGCTCTTTTTGTAATAAATGCGAAGTGTTTTGGTAGGAAATATTTCCTTCCTAAACTTTTGTAGGAATTTTTGTAGGAAAACACCATGTTTTCTTGTAGTGAAACCAGTTTTCCTATAAAATTCATACAAATACCTTTTCTTCGATTTTCCTTCAAAATAGTTTCCTTCCCTTTCTCTTCAGTTTTCCTACACCATTACTTACAAACTTGTAGCTGAAGAAATTTAGTAGGAAAATTTTCTACGAAATTTCATCCGCGGTTTTTCCTACACTATTCTTCTCCTTTTCCTTCAAGATTTCCTACGAAAACAATATTTATATGAATTTGGTAGGAAAGTTTCCTTCCACTTTTTGACACGCTTTTTCGTAGTTAAATTCCTTCTTTTTCCTACCAGTTAAAATTTTTGTAATAAATGCCAAGTTTTTTGGTAGGAAATTTTTCCTTCCAAACAATTTGTAGAAATTTTCGTAGGAAATCAGCATGTTTTCTTGTAGATATATATCTCTCATACTAGCTAATAGATCAATGAGGCTCGCGCATGGACTCTTGGAAGACTTGCCAATAAGGATTGGTGTTGTTGAAGTCACTACAGATTTCGTTGTCTTAGAAATGGACGAAGAACCTAAGGATCCCTTGATTCTTGGAAGGCCATTCCTAGCCACTGCTGGAGCTATCATTGATGTTAAGAAGGGAAAGATAGATCTATGCTTGGGAGAAGATTTCAAGATGACATTTGACATCAAGGAGTCCATGAAGAAACCAATAATCAATGAAAAGGTAGATGGATCAGCTATCTGATCAACTTTTAGAAGAACTTGCTGAGGTTGATCATCTCAAGTTGGCTTTGACAAAGAATGGATCAAATGGATTTTTTCATGTTGAGACCAAGGTCTACGAAACATTACTGGATACCTACAAGGCAACTGATGATTCAAAATGTTTTGAAGAATTGGATGAGTATATCAAGGAGGTATGTGTAGTAGAGAAGGAAGTCAGTGGCAACCCGATCACTCACCGAGTTGTTGACTCAATAAAAGCGGTGGACGATGACTGGTCAGAGTTAAAAGCTCCTAAGGTTGAGCTCAAACCGCTACCCTCAGGACTGAGGTACGTATTCCTTGGACCCAACTCTACTTATCATGTCATTGTGAATGCTAGCTTGAGTAATTAGAAATTAGAGTTGCTAGTCCCTGAACTTAGAAAATATAGAAGGGCCATATGTTATTCTTTAGATGATATCAAGGGGATCTCACTTAGTCTCTGCATGCATAGGATCAATCTGGAAAATGAATCATTCACTAGTATTGAACCTCAAAGGAGACTGAATCCTAATCTTAAGGAAGTTGTGAAAAAAAAAATTCTTAAACTGCTGAATGTTGGGGTTATCTATCCTATCTTTGATAGTACTTGGGTATCCCCAGTACATTGTGTACCTAAGAAAGGATGAATTATACTGATAAAAAATGACAAAGATGAATTGATCCCCACTAGGACTATCATTGGCCATAGGATGTGCATTGATTACAGAAAATTGAATGCTGCATCTAGGAAAGACTATTTCCCTCTTCCTTTCATTGATTAAATGTTAGAAAGATTAGCCAATCATCTCTACTACTCTTTCCTTGATGGGTATAGTGAATTCTTCCAAATCCCTATCCACCCAAATGATCAGGAAAAGACCACTTTCACTTGTCCTTATGGCACATTTGCCTACAAACGCATGCCTATTGGCTTGTGTAATGCGGTTGCAACATTCCAGAGGTGTATGACCTCTACATTCTCGGATTTGATAGAGGAGATGGTGGAGGTATTCATGGATGACTTTTCCGTGTATGGCTCCTCCTTTTCCTCATGTTTGTTGAATCTCTACAGGATATTAGCAAAATGTGAGTAGACAAGCCTAGTGCTCAACTGGGAGAAGTGTCACATCATGGTAAACGAAGGGATAGTGTTGGGACACAAGGTATTATAGAAGGGGATTGAGGTTGATAAGGCAAAGATTGAGGTCATGGTACAGTTGCAGCCCCTAGGACAGTCAAGGATATAAGTAGTTTCCTTGGGCATGCTGGGTTTTACAGAAGATTCATCAAGGACTTCTCAAAAATTGTAAAACCCCTTACAAGGCTGCTGTGCAAGGAGGTCGAGTTCATAGTTGATGAGAGTTGTCTGGAAGCTTTCAATAAGATCAAGGAAACTTTATATAGCACCAATAGTCCAAGCTCCATTCTGGGATCATCCTTTAGAATTAATGTGTGATGCTTCTGATTATGTAGTAGGGGCTGTGTTGGGGCAACGAATAAAGAAGAAGCTGCATGTCATCTACTATGCAAGAAAGCTCTTGATGAGACACAAGGGAGGTATGCAACAATAGAGAAGGAGCTTTTGGTTGTAGTCTTTGCGTTTGAGAAATTCAGAAGTTACTTGGTGGGATCACAGGTAGTAGTCTACACGGACCATGCTGCACTGAGGGATATATACTCGAAAAAGGATACCAGGCCGAGACTGTTGAGATGGATACTTTTACGCCAGGGATTTGATATAGAGATTGTTGATAAGAAGGGCATGGAGAATGGTGTTGCAGATCACCTTTACAGATTGAGAATAGATTATCCAATCCCTATTGATAATTCCATGCCTGAAGAACATCTTATGGTTGTAGAAATATGCAAAAATATGCATCAATTCAGAGAGTATGCCCTGGTACGCGGATGTTGTGAAATATAAGGTTTGTGGAGAGATTCCTGCAGACATGGATCCTTATAGGAAAAAAATATTTTTCAGAGATGTTAACCACTACGTCTGGTATGAGCCTTACTTGTACAAGAGGGGTTCAGATGGGCTGTTTAGGAGATGCATAACAGAAGGGGAAGTGCAGGGAGTGCTTAAGCACTGTCATGGATGCGCTTATGGAGGACACTTCGCCACATTCAAAACAGTTCATAAAGTTCTACAAGCAGGCTTTTGTGGCCAACTTTGTTCAAGGATACAAACAGTTTCATCACCAAGTGTGACCCCTGCCAGAGGATGGGTAACATCAACAGAAGGAATGAGATACCTCAGAACCTGATTTTGGAAATATAAATTTTTGATGTTTGGGGAATTGATTTCATGGGACCGTTCAACCCTCCATCAAATGGCAACGTCTACATTCTGGTCGTAGTTGATTATGTCTCAAAATGGGTTGAAGCCATTGCAAGTCCCACCAATGATCACAAGATTGTTCTAAAACTGTTCAAGAGCATCATCTTTTCCATATATGGAGTACCGAGAGCAGTGATTAGTGATGGTGGTACTCATTTCATTAACAAAGTTTTTGAAAGCATGTTGATGAAGTATGATGTGAAGCATAAGGTGTCTACAACCGACCATCCCTAGACCTATGGAAAAGTAGAGGTTTCTAACAAGCAGATAAAAGGAATCTTATCAAGAGTTGTTGGGGCTTCGAAGAAAGATTGGTCTACCAATATGGATGATACTCTATGGGTGTACATGACAACTTTCAAGACACCAATAGGAAGGACACCTTTTCAGTTAGTGTATGGTAAAGCATGTCATCTCCCTAAAGAGATTGAGTATAAGGCGCTTTGGGAAATCAAGCTTCTGATTTAGATATTGATGCAGCCCAAGCAAAGAGAGTTCTTGAAATCCATGAACTTGAGGAAATCAGACTTGATGCTTTTGAAAGTTCAAAAATCTACAAGGAGAGAACCAAGCAATTCCATGACAAGAAGATTGTTGTTAAGGAGTTTATGGCCGTTGATCATGTCTTCCTGTTCAATTCCAGACTCAAGTTGTTTCCTGGAAAGCTCAAGTCTAGGTGGTCAGGACCGTTTGAAATCAAGGATGTTTTGCCATTTGGTGCAATCAATCTTTTGAACAAGGATGGCAGTGAGTTCACTGTGAACGGA